ACAAACCGTCATAATTTGAAAGAACTGGACTCCATTATTCATCAATTAGATAATTCTTGAAATAAAATAGATTGCAGCATACGCTCTAGCAGGTTGTCAAAAAAGGTTCATCACGTTTTAAATTGACTCGGGCAAATTTGAGGGTGGTACATCACAGAGCCGATTTCTTTAGAGAGAGCCAACAATTTAGCATTGTATTGTATCGATCATTAAAAACAACAAGACTGCTTGTACAAGCGCGAAGCCTGGAATACTCCAAATTGATATTTTTCTTGAAATTTGATATATTTTTCAAAAAATATGCAAAATTTTTTGACTTTTTTTGTAATTTTATCTTTTATATTCCGCACGCTATGTAAAGTACAGCAAAGTGGCCACGGTATCAGTGCGGTCAGAGCCAAATCAGTGCGAAGCAAGATATATAAAAGCCATCAAGGCCATAACAGTGCCAGCCAATTAATATCAGAGCCAGTTTTTTTTCACCGCGCTTCTTTAATGAATTGCTCAAAATCAAAATTCTAAGCAGGCTCAGTATAAATTTGTTCAGGTAATATGAGCAGCTCTGAGAAAAAGAAAAGTGGGCAAACGCGTTTTCAATGACGACTGGTTAGCAATGGAGATTTTCAGTGTTTGGCTTGGAAAGGCAACAATTGAACATGAATTTCGATGTAAAGCATGCAGCAAGTTGTTTTCGTTGGGGAATATGGAGATCATGACGTTAAGTCACATTCCAAACGGAGCAAAAGCAACCAAAAATTGATTAATCTAAGGCGCTAAACTATGAATATGGAGCAACTGGAGCACAATACTGATAGTCTAGCTCGCAATGACATTGTGAAAGTTGTTTTTGAGGAAAGTTTAGCTAACCCTCAACCAGTGGTAGTAAAGGATGCTACACGCAATGCAGGAGTTCTTTCTGCAGTATATTTGGTTGAGAAATGTTGTGGGTCACGCAACGGCGGATGACCAACTTCGTCAATTCTGAAATATTTTGAAGGTTTGTTCAAGTTTCCAATAACTCCATTTATTTTTTTAATTGACAAAAAACTTCGATTGAAAAAACTTTGTTGGCGTTTAGTGACTCTCTCCGAAGAAATTGTTGCAAATCGGCATGGACGGTCCCAACGTGAATTGGTCCTTTACGAAAAAGTTGTCTCACAAACTACGCGCTGATGATGCTGCGCCGATACCTCTTGACATTGTTAGCTGCGGACTACACACAATGCGCCTAGTTTTCAAAAACGGGTTCTAACAGAGCAAGTGGAATTTGATACGTTTTTGATGCTGGGCTTGCATGTAACAGCCATTGCATCATGTGATGCCGGTGAAACTGATTTTTCTGACAACCTGTCGAGATATAATTATTCAAATGTGAACTGATCTCATAACGGAGTCCTCTTCAAAATATGCGGTTGTTCAGAACGTGATTTGTTTATGTCCAGAACGTAATGTTTAAGATTCTACCGAGCAAAACGTAGCTCGTTTGCGTATCGTCTTGAGCGCATTGTGTTACAATAATCAACCGAGCCTTCTCACTGGTGACAATGCCCTCGAGCAATGCAAAGAAGCCATGCCGATGTTACGATACTCTACTGCTATTTCGAAATTCATCTCTACAAAGATCGCCTTCATGACGTGTATATCAAAACACTAAACTCAGTCGTTCATAAAGATCTCTTGTATGTCGTTGAAATTTTTTTTATTGCTGTCACGTAAAAAGCCAACGTAGAAAATGATTTCTTGCTCAACAAAGACCTAATTGATGACAATCATCAGCTCGATACTCTGGTCGCTCTTCGAAGATGCAAAGATAGGCTTTAACATACTGGAGGAGTGCTCAAATTTGATATCACCAGGAAAGTTTTCACCTCAGTTCCTGGAGCAAGAACAAGATACGAACACGACTTGAAGGATTTAAAACACGACAAAAAGACCTCATTGAAAAGAAAGGAAGAAGAAATCAGTCAACTTTCTGCCAAAGTCAAGCGACTGACCGATGATTCAGAATATCTGATTCGCATGGCAGAGGAACAGTCCGTAGAAGCAGAAAAGAAAACGTCTTTCAATTTTATCAAGAAGTCGAATGCTGCTGGGACAAAGCAAAGAAGAAAATCTCAGAGAAGAACGAAGTCGTTCAGAAAATGAAAGCATTAAAGCTTCAGAAGCTTAGTTCAAAGAATCTAAGTTTCGAGAATGAAATTTTTCGAAACTTAAACTGTTTTTCATTGGGCTATAAATTGGGTCAAAAAGCCAAACAAAGCCAGTTTTTCATAAAATTTCTGTTCCTGGTATTCGTTTTTATCATTGCGAGTATTAGTGCCATCAGTGCCGACGATTTTCTAGACACTGTGGCCACAATGCACAGGGTGATATTTTTTTAAGTCTGCTGACACATAAAAAAGAGCGAACTGCCAGCGTAAAATCGAATTAGAATTACTTAAATAGCCCTTTCAGCTTTCATAGCACGAAAGATATCGCGCAATTTTTATCCCAAACTTGAAGCATTGGCAATTTTCGAACCCTCAATATCTTTTGGGGCAAAGAAATTTTTTAAAATGGGGCAAAGAAATCTTTTAAAATTGAGCAAAGGGGAAAAGTTCCTATAAGATGAAATTCAAAAAAACGCCAAAAATGGCTAGTTGAAGAAGAGTTACCCCAGAGACAACAACCGCCCCGAGCACAAAGCTGCGCTAAGATGAAAACAAGACGGCTCGTATATCAGGGCAAAGCCCTGAATGTTCCGACTGTCCCTTTTTGCATATCAAATAGTTTTTGGGAAAAAAATATTGAAAACCTCTAAATTTGGACAATATCAAAGTGTAAAATTTTGATTCGTACGAAATTAATACGACCGACAAATTAGCTAGCCTCAATTCAATTCGGAACAATTTTGTTGTGCGGGATTTTTCGCCACGCATAAATAATTCGCGTTACGCTCTCAGCATTATGAATAAACTCTTCAAAGCGCGTATAACTTAGTACAGAACAAGGAAAATTTGGCAATTTTCAAACCCCCAGAACTTTACAAAAAAAAATCCGAAGTGAATTATCTTTTTACATTTGAATTCAGGAAGTTGATATCTTCAATGAAGTTTAAAAAAATTTTTGTTGAAAATTATTATTTCGATCGGTGAAAATTGATTGAATAAAAAAACAACACCGAGCATAAATATTCCGTTTTCTTCGAAAGTCGGGACAACAAGTGATATAAGTAAAAGTCATTTCATTCATCAAATTTAAGTGAGTTCAATAATCTAACATTCTTGCTTTCACTCAAAAAGCATAACCAACGGACAGGTGTCAATGAGCTCAAGGAAACCGGAAAACATATTGAAAGGATCAACCGTACAATTTCTACCTCTTATATGACCTGCTGTAGAACATCCCCTCTTCGCACGAATTAATTTCGAAAATAAGTACCGAACAGAATGGGCATTTCAAACAAGCGCGCAGAATATATTGCTGGAGAAAATTTTTGGATTGGAATAGCTATTCATACTTTTAACCAACCAAAACATTATTCGCGATTATTGTTCCGACTTTCGATACGAAAGTAACGGAATATTTGTGCTCGGGGTGGGTTTTTTTTCTTCAGACAAATTTCGACTTTTTAACTAGCCATTTTTGACGGAATTTTTTTTTATCATTCGACAGTTATTGTTGTCCTGAGCTCAAAATTGAAAAGATATTTCACCTGTGATCATTTTTCGTATAGTTTTACGAGGGTTTAAAGATTGGCATTTTGGCCAATTTGGGACAATTAACGCGCGATATATTTCGCGCTATTAACGCGTAAGCGGAGAATTAATCCATCTTAGAAATCCTTCCAAATTGGTTGAATATAGCATATTTGCCATAGTTGATTTGTTACAAGGAGCGATATCTATCTTTTTGTACTTTATATGGCGTTTGGGAAGATGATTTTCATTTAAAAAATTTCAAATTTTAGGAATTTTTTTTTTACATTTTGTTTGATTTCATTTAATTTTTCCATGTTATTACTGCTCCATAGACCTTAAGAGGCAGTCGGAACATTCAGGGCCTCGCCCTGATGCGAGCAGTCTTGTTTATTGATTTAGCGTCTTTAACAATTTGTTATATTTAATTTGCCGTTAAATTCAATTTCTAAAAATCCATTATTTATCCTAAATCGATTTGAGAGAAGGGCTTCTACGGTTTGTTGACCCTTTTGAAATACTTGCATCTTTCGTACTTCAGAGATAACCGCATACGAACTTGAAGCTCTTTGAATTTCAAGAACCTTTTATGAGTTCAATTTTTTCGCAGCTTAAGCATTTAAGAAAAATCGATTAATAGATTACTATTTATGATTCCGCTGGGATAAACAAAAATTTGAATCCACTTTCGAAACTTTAAATGCTCTTTCTAAATCACTTGGGAAATTGGGGCAGTCCAACAGTGCCGAAAAAAAATAGTTCAACAGTGCCGAAAATGAAAACTTTGTTCAACAGTGCCAAAAATATTTAAAAATTTCAACATGTTAACAGCTGCAATCAAAAATTAAACGGCGAACGTTTACAATCTTAAGTGACACTTAGAGATTTTGAGAGAAAACTTTCAATTGAGACGTTTTGGCGCCAAAATATCTGTTTAATTTGCAGTTTCAGACATTTTGGCGCCGAAATTGAAGTGATTTTCTTCGATAATTAGCGCCAGTAATTTCCCGCTCTTTAGAAAATGCGTGTAAATTATTCTGAAATTTTCCCGCCTTTTTCGGCACTGTTGTACTTCGGCACTGTTGAACGCCCCCGGGATATTTCAATCCACTTTCAATCTCCTAAGCGGAGAGCGTAATTTGCCTTCCTTTTCGTAAATGAAATAGAAATGAACTTGAAAAAATCAAAAAACAAACCGCGAAAAAAATCAGAGCGTGAACATTTTTTAAGACTTCTTCGAACAAAAAAAAATACAAAAACTGCAAGACCCAAATAAGCGATAAAAAATTTCTTCATTAAAACTTAAAATTCGAATTCCTGCAAATACTCAATTTTAACTAAATAAATAAAACTACAAAAAAAGCCGTTTAAAAATTCGTATAAGTTATCGGAATATAATTGATATTTAAGATTCAGCCTCTATCGCCAGATTGTGAGTCTTCTATTTGAGTAGGGAGTTGAGTTCGTTGTTCTGGTTTTTCATCTTGATCGTGTTTCCCTCAGTCTTGTAGTTGAGTCTGTCAAGTTGTTCATTCTGTCTGTCCAATTCACTCCCCATGCCTTTCGCGAGGAGTTTGAGCCTGTCTAACCCACCACTTATTTGCTCTATGACAAGAAAATTAATATTGTTCGTAATTTATGTTCTTTCCCACAAAGGCCCATCATCAAAATACAGAGACTACATAATACAAATCTGAATTTGGAAAAAAAACGCTTGATATTTACGGTAAAATTGGTTTGCAAAAGATTACATCATTCATTACATATCTTAGTCTACCCCAAACTGTGTCCAAACAGTTCTGTAGCCTTCTAGTCGTAGTCTTGTCGCACTTTTTTTTTACTGTATTAAGAACAATACACCTTAAAAATTGGCACAACTTACGGAGGTTCTCATTGCATTTTTCCTCATTTTGCTTCTGTGCACTGCTCCAGTGTTTCGTTTCTGCGTCACTGAACAGTCTGAAATCTTTTTGCTGCAGCTGCTGCTGACCCGATGAGCTGTCTGATTGGCTGGAGAAATTGGAGCTTTTTGATTGGCTGATATGGTCTCTGGAAGCACTTGTGCTACTTTTACCACTGGATTGATAGGCAGGGTCGGTATCAGGGGAGAAGTAGTTTTTCACAGGCGCAAACCAGCTTTTCATTGAAGTGATATACCGCTTACTCGTATTCAGTTCTTTGTTTATCGTGTCCAAACCACTTTCGACGCGTTCCAGCTGTTCACCCTGCCTAACCAGCTCCTGAAGCCAAAATTAGTCAACTATTGTAAACACATTTGTTCTTTATACCATACTTCGTACATCACGCGTTCAGCGACAATAACACTTACAATTGAAAAAATGAAAAATTTGAAATGTGGGGGGAAAGTGGAAAAGAGCCAAGATGATCAGCATTGGAGCATATAAAAGTCTTTACTTTCTCAAACAATGACTTCGTGCTGAGACACTAAATATGATGTGTGTGTTCTTGGAGGGGGCCCAACTTTAGCATAAAGATAAACACAGAGTCGAAGCTTCACTTCGCAAACACTAGCGAGAACACGGCACAAATCAGCTCTATATAGTGCAATAAGAAAATTAGATAAAAGTCTCAAAAAAGTGTAATATCGGCCAGTCCTCGGATTCGATCTTGCCACCTACTGTGACCTAGAAATTATGAATCTCACGCAGTGCACATTCAGCCACGCACGCATCATACATCACAAACACTTGTCAAAAAGAAAGCAGAGAGCAGATGCTGTGAAATTTTAAATGCTAGATCGTGATTATAGCAAAAGCGCCACCAAATAAGTGAACATATTCATTTGCAAGTTAGGTCAGAAAAAAGGTTCGTACTAATACACTACGCTGATCACTAGTGAAAATTGCATAAAAACTTATACTTATGATAGAATTTTAACACAGAGGCGAAGCGGAGCTTCGCACCACTTGCGATACCACATACACATAGCATTGCAAGCTAGCAGACAGAAAATGAAACAAAAGCCACTAAGTCGAAAAACAATTAGAACAATTCGAAAAAACCATTACTACAAAATTTTCTGAAATTTGTCTGGAATGATGTTCAATTTAAAAACACAATAACTGGCGTTTATTAAGTATTCAGGCAAAAAATTGATCGGCAATAAAGCTGGCAAAAGTTGGTTAGACTCCCGTTGAGCAACATTGTTTTCAATTGAAAAACTTTTGACAGTTCCGAAAATCTTAATTTTAACTCTCCACCCTTCGAAAACACTCAAAAGCGTAAAAAGCTATTTTTTCTTTAAAACAACGCTTAATTAGGTCACTTACCACCTTAACAAACCAGCGAAAAAAAAACGAACAAAAATTACAAACTGAGTAAGTTTACAAATTACAGTAAAAAATCACAACTCTTTCAGTTACAATAAAAATCACTTATATCCCAGCAAAAATCCGTAAAAAGGCAACTAAGGCGACCAAACATAAGCAGACACACAACAGGTAGACAAATTTTTGAAACAGAATAATTCCCTTTTGAATAAAAAAAGATCTGCCCTGGTTCGAACACAGGACCTTTACCACCTCAACCGGACTATTTTTCTCCAAAAAAATGTGTGCCTGAAAAGCTAAAAAAGTTTGATTTCGATGTAGGCCAAGATATCATACGTTTTTCTGAACAAATTTTGTAAAACAAGAAAATTCCGTGATGCGGCAACTAAGCCGACAAAACATAACCAGACTAACGATAGTCCGAAAAAAATTTTGTAACGGAATATTTTTTCTTCAAAAACTTAAGACATTGCTTCTTAAAAAAACTAGTCAGTAGTAACAGCTGTCCGGTAGAACTTCAATTTGTAGGTGTGCACGTGAATGAAGTCTGATGATTCAAGTGATTCTGTTAACCAAGTTGTTAACTCGAAAAAAGTCTAGATTCCAGTTTGACAATGCTTGCTTATCGCAAGCGTAATTACATATTAGCCAATCAAAGTTAATCCTACTTATAATAACAAAATGTTCCAGCTAATCTTTCTCAGTATTAAATATCAGAAAAGTGACTAAATGAGCACAACAAAAGAACTATCTTAGCTATTATTGTTTTTTGTTTTTAAATTAATAGCAAAAATGAATAAATGATGGACTTGAATCAGCCCCTAAACAGCCATGCCTTGATGGGCGTGAGACACGATATCAAATAAACCTCAGAACTTCGAATTTGGTTACAAAAAGCGCGCGATAACACTTAAATAAGGCCATCAAAACTGTATGATATTTTATCTATATGATATGTTATACAGCCCCGTTCTTGGACTCATCAAAATAGTTTAGTTGATGACAATTAACTTGTTTCAAACATATCCAACAGCAAATAGAAAAGAGTCAAGGAACCCACGTCAACAGAAAAAAAACTTTCAAAATTCAAACAAAAATTGATGATATAGATTGCTTTAAAGCTCTTTGAATTTCTAGAACGAATTATGATTGAAACTTTTGACACAGAGGCCAAGCAGAGCTTCGCACCACTTGCGATACAACACAAACATTATAAATTGTGTCGAACAAAATTTAAACTGTTAAAAACTTAGGTGAACCAAAATTTTCGTATGTCTCGCTAGAAAACAATTAAGGGCCCAAATTAAGCTAGAGGTACGTGCTTGATATTGAATGAACTTGCTAACTGATGCAACACAAAAGAATGGGAAGAATAAAAAATTTTAGGATAATCAATTTTCCCAAGGAGCTGACATTTCTCGTACAAAAAATTAAGGAGTCGCCGCTTATGCAGGAAAAATTATTGCTACTGGTTTTTTCAATTGAATTTTTCATCACAGATTTGATAGAGTGAATTTTAAGATTATTCGCACAAATTTTAAGAAACGATCAAAAGTTCTAAGAAACGGTCGAAAGACTTTTTTAAACCCAAAAATACTTTCTGCAAACGCAGGATCTGGCCGCTTAAGCAGAAACGATTCACTAACCCAGGTTTCTCGATTGAACACAACCTGAGAATTGGCAGGGTAGTTTTTGCGTAGCGTCAAAAAATTTCCATAAAGCTGTTAAAAATTCGAAAAATTGAATAAATTGAAGGCGATATTTTTTTCTTAAACAAATTGGGCATAGCCAGTTATAAAGATAAGCTTTCAACAACGTGTTGTTTCGATTTAACCTATGATATCAGATTTGGCATAGCTTTTTGTGTGGAAAAATAGGGCGTACCTGCTCATGCCGAAGGGATTCACTTAACCTGTAATTTCGATTGAACCCAAAATGTCAGATATGGGAGGGTAGTCTTAGAAGAAAAAATAAAACTTTCAAAAAAACGGTCAAAAAATCTAAAGGCTAAAAATTTTGGTTTCAGAAAAATTTGTGCTTAGTCGCAGAAGCAAATGCGCTTCTTGCAACCCGTTCTTTGAACTGAACCCAAAATCTCAGATAGGATATGGAAGTTTTCGAGAATATTCGAAAGTTTGAAAAACGGTCAATAAATCAAAAATTTGACTTTTCCGAGGGCGAAAACTTTTGCGTAAATAACTTTGCGAAGTTCCCACTGCCCATTTTCTCCATTAGACCCGCAATATCTTATTTGAGAGGTTAGTTTTCGAGAAAAGTCAAAAAGAATCACAAAACGATCAAAAATCAAAAATTTTAATAATCCGAGGGCTATAACTTTGTATATAAAAAATACTGGGCGTAGACGCATATACAGGGAGCTTTTTAAAACATTTTTATTCATTGAAACCAAAAACTGAGATTTGAGAGTGGTAGTTTTTGGACAAAAGGAAAAAAATGGCTTATATGATTCCCCACAAAAATATGGGTCAAATATTCCCCACAGAATTTTTCGAAGGCTGAAGACAGAGGGTTAAAGTAAAAGAGAATCTATTGAGTATGCAACAGCGGAGCCTGCGGTCTTTCAATTTACACCCCTTTTTGAAAATCAGTAGAAGTCTCTGAGAAAAACTCAAATTTTCCAATAAATTTGGAAATATTTTTTCATAACGAAAAGAAAAGCAATTTCAACAAACCGATTGGTAAACAGACAGCCAACTTCAAAAAAAAAGAGAGAAGTGTTAAAATTGCGTTTCTCTTGATACTACCCAAAACTAGGTCATTAACCCGGCTAATAATAAAAATAGGCTGAAATAATTTCGGTCGCTGTTGGCCGGGAACGTTAAGAAGTTTGAATACATTATGAACCAAGATACAAGTGATTCTGTTTAACAAGTTGTTAGCCCGAAAAAAGCTATATTCCAGTTTGATAACGCTTGCTAATCGCAAGCGTAATAAGATTGAGAAAACAGGATCCATAAGTATATTTTCTATTTCACTGGAAAATCTAATTTATAGACGGTTACAAGAGAAAAAGCATTATATATAGACTTTGAAGAGACTTTGATTGAATTCATGATTTACACTTTTTTATCAAACTAACCAAATTAGAGAAAATAGAATGAATAAACTCTTTTCTAGTGCATAAAGAATTCTAAACAGTATAAATAATCATAGAAAATGAAAGTAACTCAAACTTTTCTGCACTAATACCTTTGATAGAACAAAACTTTCCCCAAATTTAGCACTTGAACTAGAAAAAAAATCAGGGGTCAAATCATCACTTTTACTCATTAAAACAAAAAAAAACACAGGACAAAAACAATGAGACACTGATAACAAGCTGAAAAATATTGCTTTGAAACTCATGCATCGCTAAATTGTTTGAACACATTCCTTGTTTGAAACGAGAAAAGAATATCCAATTGCCAATATGCAATTTTTTTCTAGCTATACTGAACTGCACAAATTACATAGAACGCACATATAGCTTTTGTTTACTTTAACGGGTCTTTTCTATTATACGGTCCGAAACTGATCTTTATTTTATCGAAAAACTGCATCATAAGTCTCGAATCTATAGGTTGAAACGCTGAATTGACAAAAAAAAACCAAACAAGAACACAAAAAAAAACAATAATAAAAAAACACCAGCATAGACAAAGCTTTAGCATGTGGCATATGGTGCATTTTTCGGCAATTTTCCCAGATTTTCTGCAACTTTCTTGGTGGTCAAAAAATAATTAACTTAAACAAAAACTAACGAATCTACAAATGAAATTAAATCTGCAAAAGTAAAAGATTTAGTTTTCTCAATTCCCAAGATCTCATTAGAAGGCTTGTTATTGTTCCGACTTCCGAAGAAAGTGAGGAAGATATATTCTCGGGGTGATTTTTTTCAAATTCAGCCTAAATTTCAAAAGAATTTTTTCTCAAAGGGGATCGATCCTTGGATTTTCGTGGGCCCGGCCGGATGCGCACACCACTATACAACATGACGTGACTAGCTAAGCTGCTCGTTTTACACTTGGATATTGCAACTCGTATTATTAGGCTAGGCGAAATATCCGGCAGTACAAATCGTTCCAAATTGCCATTGAGGCAAGCTAATTGGTTTCACTAATTGCATACACGACTCAATTTTATTACTTAATATTTGATTTTCTCAGCCTAAAATTCACAGTTTGTCAATCTTTTATAGACCAAAAACTGTAAGAGACCAGTTAATAGGCACTTCGAACATTCATGGCTCTGCCTGATACGAGAAGTTTTGTTTAGATTTATGATCTATTAGAAGAATTAAAAAACGCGAGTATTTCAAAGCTGTTCTTTCCATATTTTTAAATAACAAATTTTGCAAAAATATAGTTGAGGCCAAATTGTTGGCAACATCCTTTTCGGTCAAGTAATCTGAACAAAGTTAATCAAAATAAAACTGCTCATTTCGACGTCAGATTTTACCTTCTCATTGATTTCCAAACGTAAAAACCATTTCCAAAAAACTAACATATAGAGAGTTGCAAAAAGTTCGGACAGACAGAATTAATTAAAAAGAACAACTTTCTAGACATCAACAAAAATTAAAACTGAATTAAACATAATGTCGAAAGTTGATAAAGCAGAATTTCGCTCAAAACCAATAACATCGGCGGGCAATTGCATCCGAAGCGTCGAATAGTAAACCTTGAAACAGGAAAATTATTGCTCAGAGTGGCTAATGATATTCTGCAATTAATTTCCAAATTTTGAATGATTTGATCATCTTCACTTCCGTTTTTTTTTGGGGCAGCCTAATTTTTTTTTGTTGCTGAAAATAACTCTAGATTTCGATTTTAACTAATTTTGCTGTTTTATAGTAAAATCTGGAAGTTCATCGCAGTATTTAAAACCTAGGCTAGCATAATCATCGGATATTCGACGATCTCGCATTTTGAGTTTCGTCTGACAAAAAATTCAAGATTGGTCGGCTTCAGATTTTGCATGCTAAAAAACGTCGTAAAGCACTGATAGCTCATTTTAATTAGTTCTGTCTGTCCAAACTTTTTGCTATTAATTATATAAGCTGCAGTTTTTGACTGATTAAAATGTTCAAGTTCACCGATATTGCCAACAATTGGACATTAACTATATTATCCATTTATGAATGAAACTGCACAAAACTCTATATTTAGAAACAGCATTCCCGCTTTAAAAGCTGTTCTAAAAAACTTTTCGCTTTATCTTAATTTTAATTTATCGAAAAAAATTTTTCAGACAACTTGCACCATCAGGGAGAAGTTGAAACATAGAGGCGAAACTGAGCTTCACGCTACTTGGGATACAACACAAAAATAGCAGAAAGTCGAAAATAAATCAGACAAAATAAAAGACAGGAATTCGGAAATAAAAATCTTGTTTAGATTTGTCTCAAGTGAAGTGAAAAAATCAGACTCCAAGTCAAACGAACCCAGCACCTTTTTCATCCCAAGTATGGGCGTTAGTTGTACGCTTTATGTACAGAAAGCGCAATTGAAATTAAACTAACTATGAAATACGTAAAATCTAACGTGCGAATTCTTGTTTACAGGGAAAAATCAAGTAGACGATTCCAATGGTGGCAGGCCAACAATCCAAAGGGACAACAAACCGAAAATAAGATAACCATTCCAACAAGCCAAAAATTCATATTGTTGTTATGCAATTGTTACGTAGTTCTGATGTAATATACGTTGCTCTAATGCAATTTCGGCTTCAAGATATGGCGGTTTGTTGATTATCCGCCGATTACAATACCCTAGCTCGTTCGAACATTGTAAGAAAATTTAATTAAGGGAAAACGTCTAGTTCCAATTAGAAGTCTCTTGCTCTCTCAAGGAAAATTCACAACGGATTTTAATTTACAGTGAATACGAATAGCATAGCAAGCGAAAAAAGCATGATAGCACATAATGCTAAGAACGCATTTATCGCAACAATTAATCCGCATTTTCAAGTCATGAGTAAAATACTTAGCCCCCCCCCCCCCTAAAAAAAAACTTACATTTGCAGTTTCAACTCCAATCGTTTCTGATTGTTGCATCATCTGAACTGTCCTCTCAGAGCTAGCCACTGATCTCTGCTGTGAGGCAAGTATCTGAGCCTGAATTTGCTCGTAGCTTTGTTTGCCAGTGACTGAATTTGATGACATAATTCTCTCGCCTTAAAATAGTCAATTTCTTAGAGAACACCCTCGAACAATTAGTCGGCTAGGTTTTTATTAAATTTTAGGTATTTCTCGAAAAGATTGTACGGTGTCATGTATATGTTGAATAAGGTTGTCTCAATGTCGAGAGAAATTGATCTGAATCAAATCTGAATTGGTTTGGTTCTTATTTCATGCTAATGCGTTTTAATGAAGATTTTAACTATCATGGTTCTTTTTGAAATTTGAAGTTTGGCTGTTTGAAGTCACTTTCAATGAAAAAAAAATGGTTAAATTCATTTCATTCATCAAACTCCAAAACGAACTTTAGAATAGTTGCGCCATTATTCAAATCTGATTTCATCTCTTATATTTTTGCTTTTCATAAATTTTGCTTTTTATAGACATTTAAAAAAGTTGTAGCCCGAGTGAGATCGACAAAAATTTAAATTCGGTGGTAAATTGGGATTCTAATCTCTCAATTCTCGTGAGCAACTGAAGGTAAAGAAAGGCTTTTCCCACAGCTATCGCAATTTTCTTCCGAAGATAGAACCCCAGGTCCATTCATGAGTCTGAGTCTGACACTTTTCCTACGTCTTTTAGAATCTACAAAAAACTAGCGGTAACCTATGATATACTCAAGGCTATAGACCTATTTTCTTCTCTCAAGCTATAACATTACACTTATTCGCACATGCTTAAGTAGGGTTCAAATTTGCAATACCAGAAAAAAAAAACAAATAAGCTAGTCGGTCATACTAAAGAAGTTTTCGGTTCAAATAGGATTTTCCAAATTTCGAATGTTCCCTGTCATAATCAGCTTTCTCGCAGCAACTGAAAATCAGAACAGCCGAACTCAGAATTGCGGGAAACACGCTAAAAAATACGATCTTGAGTCCAATTGCTATTCGCAATTGGCCGGCATAATTTATTTGAGTAGATTTGTCTTTGTTCCCGTTAGTGAATACAACTATCGATTGAAAAGAGCAGATCAGGGTGACCACTTTTTGAGAAAACATAGTGACTATGACTGTGTTTGCCAGGGTGACCAAATTTCAAAAAAAAAATGAAATTTTTGTCGACCTTTTTTTTAGGTCGACCAAATTGATCGATGTTTTTGGAACCCTGATTCAATGTCAATGACGCCCCCGTCCATCGACCAGCGCACTTTATAGTCGTCGCTAGGTACTGGGCGAGCCCATGTAAACTTCTCGGCCAGTGCCGCTGAATACCTGCATGGCATTTCCTATCTGAAAGAAAAAGCGAAAAAGCTTTGTTGTAAATAGTGACTTTTAGTGACCATAGAAAAAATAGTGACCAATAGTGACTGGTCACTAAAATAGTGACCAAGTGGTCACCCTGGAGCAGACGTTCAATCAAACTACTATCCGACTTGCTCGGGGAAGCTTCTCAATCAACAGATCCGACGGTCCAAAACTACCTGATCGTAACAAACTTCTTGAGTAATATAAAACTTCTTAAGCTTTACTGTATTACTTAATCGCTTTACTGGAGTTGTTGTTACGGTGTCTTGAGCAACTGATTATTTTACTTGAGTGCATTTGGTCCGATTATGTTGATTAAGGTGAGTTTCAGGTAGATCTATCTGCAATGGATCAAAAGTACACTGTGTACCAAAAACTAATCATTACTATAGGTTCCCAACCTTGTTTTCAATCGCGTTCGCGTGCTTTTGGTATGTCTAGACCTAGACACGGGGACGTGCTTATTTCTTTTTAGAGGGGTGGGGCCATTTGGTAGAATCCTTTAAGCTGTAACGATTCTTAAGTTCTATGTCCTCAGCGAACCACGAATTGGCTCCGACTGATTGAAGTGTAAAAACTTAAGAGATAGTGTCTCTGGCCCTTGAGACAATGGCTATAGAGCCCATCACTCTTAACCTCATACTCCACAGTATACCACAAATTTACATGCCATTCTCCTTATGTAATTTGAAACACCAAACTGTCGACACAAAAATCAGTAAAAATAGAATCCAAGACTTTCGCTGAGAAAAAACTTACCTCCAAGTTAATAAAATACAGTCACAAAGTAAAATTATTCTTACAGTACCAATACACTCCTAGCATTTTATGCTAATAGATAAGCTTGGAGAGAAAAGCTGATAGTCATAAACTTTGCTGAAAATTCCATCTGTTCAATGGCATAACTGGCTGGCTAAAATTCTGGTTCAAATTAAATTCAGAAAAGCCTATGTTTTCAAACCTTTGGATATAATTGAAGATTAAAAATAACATTGAGCAAAATCAGGCGGATGGATAACTTTTTGATCTCTTCGAACAAAAAAAGACTTTGAGTCTTTCAAGAAAGTTTAAGAAGCACAATTCCTTTTAAAAACAACAGAAAAAATTGTGGTACCGAACAGCCAAAATCAGTATTTTCCTTTTTAAAACTAGTTGTTCAAAATGAATTCAGCTGTTCGGATAAAACTTTTTTCTGATGACCTGAGAAGAAAATTTGTTTCGCTAGAAGAGACACAAATGTTCCTTTTTGTGCAGCAGAAAAATCAAGAATCGATCCACATGGTTTTGTGTAATTTTCAAAACATCTTATATATTGAGCAAATTCCTCAAACAGTGCGTTTCTCTGAAACAAATTTGGATTCGTATTGGGTCAAAACAGATAACTCATTGGAACCGGTGGAAATTTAAGCAAACTTTCTCATGATCAGTTTTTAGCCTAATTTGCTTGAAACGCAATAGAATTTTTGGTACTCCCTCAAAAACTGCTGCACAATTACTTTTGTTATGTGACTGTAGGTATCAGTTCAATTGATAAGTATTCAATCTTAGAAAAAATGAATCAAAACGGATCAGTGAAATTCAAGTAACTTTTCATGTTGCTATTTCTCGAAACGAATAAGCTTCAATCCCAGAAAATCCTTCAACAATTGATCAACACTCAAAAATTGACTGAAAAAGTTAAATGACTTAGATTTGTTTTCCTATGGCGGAACTGTTTGGGTTTATAATTACAGCAGCAGCGTAAGATGTTTGTTAATGATACCTACTGTAATTATTTTCTGTTTGAGCATGAGGGTAGACCCTGTTGCAATGACCATTCACTGAGCCACTGCCCAGCAATTTCTTGCGAGTGTCTTCCAAACTTTCAGTTTGATCCGATTTTGCTTTCATTTCGCTCGTGGCATTTTGTCTACTGAGTCTCGAACTGAACGATGAACTGTTCCAATATTCTTCATCTTCATCGTCGTCTTCTGTGTGCCATTCCGCCGGATGACACAGTATAACCTTCCCGCGACAGAAATAAAAGTGACTAAAGGCCTTACGAACAGAAAAGTGTTGCGACGGAGGGTCAGAATGTTCTGGAATTTTTATTTTTAAAATTTCGATTTGAAGGAGAACATTTCTGAGAAATAGAAAAAAGACGGCCATTTTGAATAAAATAGAGAAAAATCAGAACGACGCCATATTTTGTGACGAACGGTTGTATCCGAGACGAGAAAATTACGGAGCCTCTTATCGTGGTAATAACACACGATAAGGACCTTAGTGACGGATATTTGTGGAGACGGAGGCTTCAGTGGGGGGAAGAGAGATACCACGGAACCCTCCCGGGACACGAAATATAGGAGATAAGAGTGTTGTCTCAAGAAAATCACGGGAGCGGAGGCTTGGTCCCCCAGAGACTGTTATATGTGAAGGGACTGTGTAAACTAGCCATAACAGTTGCTGTAATGTCCTAGATCTGAATTAAACACCGTTATTATTTAATATTTCAGAGCATGAGTAGATAGAGAAAGGAAAAGGTCAATCCATCTCCAATGGATTTAATATAAAACTGTCACACAAAAACATATAGAAATAGGTGGTTCGAGCCGTGTTTTTAATGACAATCACGTAGTCTGAGGATCCGAGACTCAGCTATGTGGTTGTGTTCGCATGCAAACGAAAGCTGATCAAAAGTCGTTTGACTGATGGCCTAAAAATAGTAACTTTTTACTTTGCCCTAGACAGACCAGAAAATCAACTGGCAAGGTCGAGACGGTGAAAAACGAGTGGAATTAAGGTAACTGACGCCTGCCAGTCGTCAATAGGTACTTTTTCTACGCTCCGTCGCTGTGTGATATTTGGGCGAATGTTACATAGACGTTTTTATGGCGCTCCTGGGTGGGCCTGTTAAAGGCATGAAACCATCATGATCAGCAAGCGTTTCAGCGACGTACCCTCCGCTCCGGGCGTATGCCCGAGTTAGAGGCCTTAATGACCGTTTTCGTACTAGGGGGAAGGTGCGTACCCCTCCGTCTAGTACGATTTAGCTTTTTAACTTAGTTAACACCGAAAATTCCGGGGGTCGGAGGGTTAGGTGGGAAATCTAGAGCCCGCTTGTCCTGAGGTCCCAGGACCAAAAACAATTAAAGAGAAAGCGTAAAACCAAACAAAAAAATAGTGTATAACCAAGAAAAAGCCAAAAATAATTATTTAAAAACAAAAAAAAGTACAAAAAACAGTAAAAAATCCAAAAAAGACCAAAAACAGTAAAAAAAAAAAAAAAAAAAAAAAAACATAAAGTGACAGTTTATATGTTATTTCCGGACGAGATGTGATCTGACCTTCCTATTTGTTGTTGTTTCAGATTGATTTATATCGTTTCTGATAGAGAGATTGTGTGTTTTGGTGAAGGGTTGGGTACCCTCCCTCGAGTGTAATTTGAGTGTTTAAGCACGTTAATGGTGATTTTGCCGGTGACCGGAGGGTAGAGTGGCAGGCTGATCAACGTGTTCCACACTCAACAGGGACATCAAGGACAACATCCGCAACGACTGTTGGGTATCGTTGAAGCAATTTTAGTATCGTTCGGGTACTATTTCCTTAAAACTTAAGTGGTGGGGGGCACGATTGGCGCGGTCCGATTGTACCCTCCATCGATTACAAATTTCCGAGTTAAGGGTCTTAATTCGAATATTTTGGTGCAAAGGAGGGTATAGTACTATTTATTAACGACTATTTATAGATTATTGTCCTTACTATATATTACTTATCTCCTATTTAGACCCAAGGAACACCCATTTTTTGTCGAAAATTACCAATTTTCGACCAAACTGTAGACCCCCAAATTTTCGGAGATCCGAGCTTTTCCGATAGGCAAAAAGCTTTTATATAGAGAGTAGCCACGTAGTTCGATCCCCTTTATTAAAGAAACCGCGTGAGCAAAGATTCAGTAGAAGTTAGGAAAACGAGAATTTTTCGACCAAAATTTTGATAATTTTCTGTATTTTGTCAATCTGTTTTGGGGATCGATTTTTTGAGTTTTTAGAGTTAGAGCAATAAAATTTTTTGCGTTAGGAGCGTGCTAGCATAACGTGCTCGGTTACTAGAGAAATTTTTGGATAACCCTCCGAGTAGCTCCGTGGATAGAGCTAACGACTTAAGGTTTGGAAAAGGAAGGAATCGGAGGGTCCAAATTTGATAGTTTTTGGCCAAATTTTTGTTTCTAAACCAATTTTGGTCCGGTTTTTTGCATTATTCCAGTGCCGTACAGGGCTACTACGCTCATTTCAAGTATTTTTAGGCACTTTCGACCGGAATTGCGAAAAAAGTCTTTCAGATCCTACACAGGTGGTGAAAAAGGCCATTTTGACGAACGCGTTTTTGGCGATTTCTCAAAGACTAGTTATCCGATCGGGATAATTTTGGTACCATAAGTCGACGTTTTTGACCACTTTTCCGAATCGCAACCGTTTTTGGGTTGATTATTTCGGAAAAGAAAAATTTTTTAGAATTTGTAGGTTCGGAGGGTCCAAGTAACGGGCAACCCTCCGAGCGGCAGAAAATTTTATCAAAACATCCTTTTATTCAACTGGGAAGGTTGACCGTGTCAGCCAACCTAGTTTTAAGTCAGGTAGACCGCTTTCAGAGGCTTTACTGCGGTGATCTAACCCTTTTTCTTGATTTTGGGGGAACCCTCCGAAGTGACCCTCCGGAGTCAGCTAAGCCCTTTAGCAACCCTCTTTAGTGGGAAATTTCCACGAGATCACCCTAAGAGGTTGAAACAGCTCCCCCTAGAACCCTTAGCTTATTTCGACGCTTTTTGAAGCTAGTAGGAGAACCTTCCAAGTGAGATCAGAAAATTTGAAAATTTTGGAGGTACCCTCCGAAGTGACCCTCCGGAGCGTATTAAGCATCTTATTGACCCTCCTTAGTAAATTTAGGGGGACCCTCCGAAGTAGCTTGGGTGATTAAGATACCCTCCTAAGTAACTTGAGTGATTGAGGTACCCTCCGAGGTAACCCTCCAGAGTGTCTTAAACCTTCTAGCGACCCTCCTTGTAAGAGACTTGAGTAAACCTTCTGTGGCAATTTGGGAAACGGAAAATATCCATTTAATTAGGATCATATTAGGATATTAGGCGTGCTTATCAGGATCATAAGAATCCATTCTGACCCGGAAATTCGTGATCAACTTTGGATTCTATATTGGGTGTATTAGAAGTACCCGAACAAAATTTTTTTTTGATTGTGATTTTGGTTGAGTGGTTGCCTTGAGCCACTTAATAGGAAAGTTCGGGCAATCCGGGAACAAATAAAGGAAGACCTCGGTGGGTGTATTAAGCAAATACACACCCACTTGAGAAGAAGAATTGTTCCCTACTCTCGTGCACTTGGAGCAGTCCGAGTGTGGGAGAGCTTTTTCATAGATTTGACGAATTTTCGACCAAGAGGTTGCCTTGAGCTACTTAGTAGGACAGCTCGGGCAATCGCAGGACACCTAAAAGAAGACCTCGGTGGGTGTATTAGGCAAATACACACCCACTTGAGAAGACTGTGTCCTGGGCTTCGTTCTTTCGGATCGTTCCGATTGGGGGAAGTCTTTTTCTTTAAGACTAAGTTTTATTTATCTATTTCTGAATCATCACTGCTTTTTATCGAAGATTGTTTAATTTTAACAAAGCAGTGACTTGATAAATTGTGTGGCGATAAATTGATACTGACAAAAGGTCGCTGTCACCTGTAGGATATTCTTATCTGATTATCGATTGTGTGTTGTGTGTCGATTATATCTTGTGGAAACTTAGTGATACTGTTATACTATACAACCGGGTTAAGTCAGCATTATATCAATACTGGGTAGACCCTGTGTGTAACTTTAGCTGAGTCACTAATTTAGTCGTGAGAGATCTAAGAGACATTTTGATACTGACGGAATCGAGTAGGCAGCGTTAAGTGATTTAACTAAATCTTGTTTGTGGTACGTTTGCATTGCCATCAAATTACGAATACTTTCATTTTGTACAAAACTATGCAGCGCAGGGACTCGTTAGGATCGACTACTAAAATTCCCAGGCTAAGCAAGGGAAGCACGCGGAAATTTAGAACTAGGCGTAGCCAAACCTCGTTTAGCAGCGCTTCCGACGCGTTTGCTGAAGACGAATCGACTAAAGGTCAACCTGATCTTTCAGTGATCGAAATGAGACTAAGGAGCGAGAAAAACCTTGATGGCAATCAAGGGCGGAGCGCCGAGGCCGAGCCTGCGAGCGAAACGCCGGTGGATCCCTTTGACGAAGGGGAGCGAACGCTCATTCGACCCGACTTTGAGCCAGACGGGGTCCTCGAACGAGAGGAAGTCGAGAGGACAGAGGAGACCTCGGAGCGTTCCGAGGTCGAACCTCGGGAGGAAGTGTTGTACAGGGGAGTGTCCAGATCAGAGACTAAGAGCTATAAATGGAGAAAGGAACCTTCACATCTGACAAGTGCACACTCATCCTTGGCCAAACAGAGTAACAACGCGATGATGTCGAGTATGAGTCCGGGTGAAGAGCAGACGTTCTCGAAGGCCAAGAAGAGTTGGAAGTCCTTGTACGACGAACGCATGGCGTCACTACCAACTGTAGGTTTGACTTCCAGGGACGACTACCCGGAGATAACCCATCCGGATGTGAACTTCACACCGTGCCCAAGGAACGACATGAGCAGGGAGGCATCTTCTGCCTCGCCGACCAGGCCTATGTCAGATGGGATAACGATGGGAGCATCATCAACGTTTGACAGACTGATGACGTCAATGCACAAGCAAAAGGGCGGTGCGTCATCAAGTACTAGGCTACAGCCACAGTTGACCTCGTCTTCTCTGGGGCTAACCCCGCCACTGGGGGCAGCTGGTGACATAAGTGATATGTTCGCTGGTGTGATGAATGGCCTGGATGAATTGAGGCGAGACATGACTAAGCGGATAGATCAAGTTGACGAGAGAGCTCACCATGG